GGAAAAATTCCTGTAGGCATAGACAAGTTACATATATGTGTAATAGGGGGGTTAAGAATATGTATTTATCTCTTTAAGTATTATACTAGAAATCTGGTCGAATCCTACTACAAAGTTGTCTCTTAAATCTTGGATCAGCTGGAAAATTTCTTCCTCACCCGTAGGTAGCATGACAAATGAATTGGTGGGGGACGGATACAAGCCGTCAGATCCAGTAAGTTTTCTATGTCCAGAGTTTATTATAATGTCTTCAGCCAGATTCCGTCCAATATTAGCAAAGAAGTAGTTAATGTCGTTAATACTTTTTTCCGGATTTTCTTTTTTCCGCATTAGGCCTTTGGTGACCCATAGTTTCCTTGTAAGTTTTCTTTTGGGTGATTTAACCAAGGTCGTGTAATCTCTTATAGATGTAGCTAAATATTTCAGTAGCAGATCTGTTGCTAGGTTTGTTTCCATGTAATGAAGAATTGTCTGATATTAAATCTTTGCCTAGTTTTATCTAATTCCAGAAAATTAATGCGATATCATGACCTATTTAAGTATTATATATATCTATAAGAGCAAGAAGCTTGAGTAAAACTAATGGCTACACTTTCGTGGTCAATAATCGATGACTCCAAAATGAAACAAATGACCACTAATTTTGGTTTTAATTATGTTGTAATCCAGGCATGTTCTACCACGAGTAGGCTTATGGTCGCCACACACGGTCAGTTCAACTGATCATTCCAACTGATCAGTTCAAACTAAAACTGTTGATATTTTTTTAAAATATTGTATTTTCGATAATTTAAATATTGATATAATTATAATTATCGATATATCGAAAATTCAATATTTTAAAAATATCATGTTGGAATGATCAGTTGAAATGACTGTGTGGCGTCCATTATTGTGTCCTGGAAGCATTCTATTACTCGCCAATGCATTTAGGTAGTCATGTGAGCGCTTATCAGAGCTATTCGGGACTATATCTATATTGATGTCGCCACAGAGAATTATGTTTTTATAACTCTTAAGTTTAGACAGAAGGGAGTCAAGAGAACCTATGAAACTGCCGGTATTTTGTTGGCTAGGTGGTCTGTATGTGCCAATAACAAAGGTTTCGAAGTTAAGCCTTTCTAAAAGTAGACTTTTGAATTTGGGGTTTCAATACATACTTTTAGATGTTTATTGTAGTATATTGCCACTCCCTCATTCTGGGTCTTATGGGTTGTTGTTGTTATATAATTGGAGTTGTCGAGATTGGGTATTGTAATTCGCCGATGGTAGCCAACATCCAGAAAGTACTAGTATATCCCAAAATATTTCGGATCTTTGTAGGAATGTTTTAAATTAGACATATTGTCAGACATATTAGGATTTTTGTGACAGTCCCGATTTCATAACTCACATGAGTAAATGAACACGGCTCCTGCGAAAAAAGTAATATAAATATCAAAGACATCTCATTTTAAACACAGGTTAATTTTTATTTCAACTATGAATAGGGCTGCTCTGATAGAATCTTGAAAGTTGTCCTTGGTTCTACTTTGTTTTTAATCTACATAAATAATCTAATCAATATGGACATTAATGTGGGCAACATAATCTCCTATGCAGATGATACTGCAGTAACATTTACTGGTGACTCCTGGGATTCTGGTCGTAGAGCTGCTGAAGAAGGCCTTGCTAGGATCGCTAGGTGGCTGAAAACTAACTTACTTATTTTAAATACTTGGAAAACTAGTTATATATGTTTTTCAAATTATATTCGAACTCAGCCTAATATTAATTTCCAAATTAAACTTCACACATGCTATGATCCCTTAAGTACTAGTTGCAGCTGTTCATTAATTAGTAAGGTCTCTGAGACCAAGTATTTAGGAGTCATAGTTGACCAACATTTGTCATGGCACAGACACATTGAATTAATCATGAATAGTCGTAGGAAACTTACATGGACATTTAAAACACTAAGACGAAAAAGTTATTTTACCAAATATATATTGCTTTGGCCCAATCTATCTTACTGCCGCACTCAGAGACGTTTAATGATTACTTGAGCCGTCACTAAGTAAAGATTTAAAAAAGTTGACTCTCAGAGTGAGTTAATGGTTCATTAGTGGGCCTAAGGAACAGTTGACTGTAAGTAACGCTCAATCCTTACTTAACTTCGTAATGAATGATTTTGAAAGGTCAATTTGTGAGGTTATTTGTGTCATTGCGTGGTTATTTTCTAGGATTTGTTTATTGTGATCAAATTGTGATATTTTGAGAAAATGTCAGATTATGAAGAGTTTGTTGATTTTGTGGTATACGCAAGAAGATTTAGGGAACCAGGACCAAGACGTTATTTGCGTGATTATTCGGATCCATTTCGGAAATATACTGTTCAAGAATTTTACTCACGATATCGCTTTACCCCCCAAGCAATAAAAAATACCATAATGGCAATGCTAGAACCACATTTAAAAAAACCTAGCAGCAAAGGTCTGCCGTTTGCTCCAGAAATAATGATTCTCGTTACGTTGAGGTACTATGCTTCTGGGAGTTTTCAAATAAGTAAAATACTGTGTGCTATAGACCTTTAATATTAGGTACCTCTTATAAATTATTGCTGCACAACCCGATCACAATATCTGCAATCCTCGCTGTAAAGTGATGTTATAGCAAGGTACACAGGATACTGTGACTGAATTAAATAAATCTATCACTTATGCAAGTAGGTACTTACCTGGTTTCATATTTTTTCAGAAACTAGATGGGGATGTCATGAATATGTGCCAACAGTCAGTATCAAGAATTATAACTACTGTGTCTAATTCAATAGCACTACAAATGAAAATGTTTGTAAAATTTCCATCTACAGTGGAAGATATCAATCAAGTAAAGTATGTTCATGATATAAACATGCTAATAGACATTAATAAATATTATACATATTCTACATTCAACATACTTTTAATAGTAACATACTAAACTTCTGAATATTTCTTGCAGACAAAAGTTTTTTGAAGTGGCACAATTTCCTGGAGTGATAGGATGTATTGACTGTGCACATATTAAAATAAAAAGTCCTGGTGGAATGTCTTCTGAAGTGTATAGAAACAGAAAGGGTTTTTTTTCAATCCATGTACAGGCAGTAACAGGACCTAATTTAGAATTTTTTGATTTGGTTGCACGTTGGCCAGGCAGCACACATGACAGCTTTATATATAATAGCAGTTCTGTCAAACATTGGTTAAGCATTGGAAATTTACAAGGACAGGGTGTGCTACTTGGAGACAGTGGATATGCAGTTAGCAGTGTGTTGCTAACACCATTTTTGTCACCTAATGGTATTGGACAAGAACTGTATAATAATAGTCATATTAAAACACGGAATACTGTTGAGAGGACCTTGGGAATTTGGAAACGGAGGTTTCCTTGTCTCCAGATGGGAATGGGGATCAAAAAGGAAACTGTTGTGGCAGTGATATGTGCATGTGCCACACCGCACAATATATCAACAATGTTAGACGATGTCATGATGCCTTCTACTGATGACACTGATGACAATATATTAATCAGTAACGTCGATAATGTTCCTGTACAAGAAAACCCCAACAGTAATGGTTTTTTGGTCAGACAATCTGTTGTCAATGTAGATTTTTTTCTCAATAGTAAAAAAAATTATACAAGGTTAAAATAAAACATAATTTAACTAATCACTTGTTTTATTTTGTGTTTTTTAAAATCTTCAATTCTAATGTAGCTTTTTCCTAAAGAATTTTATTTGTCTGTAATTCTAGTTCTGCTGCCTGTTGTTTGATTTCTTGAGTAGCCAACTGTAAAAGAAAATAATATATATTAGTTTATAGTTAGTTATTGAAACTACTTATTACAGTTATGTTATTTTTATAGAATGGGTGTGACAAACACGCACACAGTCTACCTGATGGTTAGTGGATGCTGTGGCCTATAAACATTTACATTTAATTTTAAAAAAAGATAATAACCTAAAATAAATCTAACAAACTAAAATAATAACCCAATGTGAGTTTGCTGTACGCTAGCAATGTTTTCAAAAAGCTGATTTTAGGGTAGCTAGTAAATTATTATATATAATGTATTTAAAAAAACCTTTGAATTTATTATCTTTGCCTCCAGTCGTTTTTTTACTTCCAAATTTTTTTATTCTTAAAACACCTTCTCTTCTTATATAATCGGCAGGCGTTCGAGGAACATAATCAGTTGGGCTAAATGGAATGTTTTGTTCATCTTGAGTTCCTGATGAAAAAATATATATTAAAACATGTAAAATACACACAAACAGTATTTTATATATTAGCTATAGAAATGAAGTTTTTTTCTTTATATGTATTACCTGTGTTATTTATAACTTGAATTGGAAATTTAGTGGTGAGCGTTTTTTCAGACTCTGCAAGATGATATTTATCTGGTTCATTGTCATCTGAAATCATTCGAATCAAATGTTTAGATGATTTGGCTCATATTTTTTTTAATAATATAAAGTTATAATTTAACATAATATACCTATTTTGCAATCACTGGATTTCACTTCCTCCTCTTCAAGTGAACTTAATAGGCATCCATCACTATCAAATTAATTTTTCACTTCACAAATTATAACAGGTGCTGCCTAAAGAAATAAAGTTATTAAAAAAGCTGCTTCAGCTTTATATTAAAAACAAAATTTATAATTATACCTACTTCTTCTACCATGCTTATAATGGCTCCTTGGTGCGGTGGCAGAGTAGGTTTTACGGGTCCCCCTCCAGTTTTAAATAAACTACCACGTTCAGCTGCACGAGCTTTACGTGTAAAAGCCTTCATGTTATCCCATGCCCTCTTTAAATTAACGGTATCACGCTGGAAGTAGAAGGGAAGTACAAGAGCATAACAAGTAACAAACAACACTTCATAATAGTAATTTATAACTTAAAGCTTAGCCAATAGCTTATAAACTGATAAAAGAAAGTGTAAGTTTATGCACCTTATAAACATAAGCTTGGCAATTAAACTCTTGCGTTATGGACTCCCATGCAGTTTTCTTTTTTATCAACTGACTTGCCGTCAGTTGCTTTCGACTCCACAATTGGTTTACTCTTTATTAGGGCTGCTAACAAGGCCTTTTCGTCGCTGGTGAAATTAGGCACTCTTGGGCGTGGTGTTTTCGGCTCCTAAAATGAAAACGCTTTTTTTTTAATTAATTTTAATGCTTAATCTCGTCTGGTATAAAAAGCGTAATTTGGTACCTAGTGGAACTTTTTACCATATTTTTCTTGTCACTTGTTATTATCCAAAATATATGTTGGATATGGTGTGCGGGTTCCGTTCAAATAACAGGTAGGGATCACTGAATACACCACGAGAATCCGATGCTACTAGTACGATGAATTAATAACAACTAAACTAGGAGTAGTCTCCGCTAGGAGTAAAACATTTCTGTGAACTAAACACGATACAAAACAATAATTTACATAAAGCTCTGAGGTATATATTACTATACACTTTGGCTCTTGAGAAGATAGAATAGAAAGTTTGTTTAACAATGACATTCACTCCTGACATCTGACTGGCATCTGGTGTCGATTGCCACAATAAAAAATAAATTTGTAATTTCAGTTATTACGGTGCTGTGTACGGTTTAAAAATACTTTTTACTGTTATGTGTTGGAAAAAATCACACTGAAGTGTTTACTAATGTGTATTAATATGTTTGTACTGAATAAAGACGAAAAGCTATTATTTCCGGAAAGCAATTTATTTACATAGCAACCCTTACGACTTATCGACATCTATCGATATTGCTTAGCACGGCCACATGTGTCCTTAAGTTACTCATTAGCTAATGAATCATTAAATTTAGTCTCTGGGACGTATCACTCATTAACGAAGATAATGGTAATTCGTTAATTATTCGTTAGGGTGAATTTAATGAAGCTCTCTGAGTGCGGCAGTTAGAATATTATATTCCTCTATGGAGTGAAGCTACAAAAACCTAATTTCTAGAAGTTGAAAGAGCACAGAGAAATTTACTAAAATTATGCATTTTGAACCAAAAAGATTATCTACAGAAGATCTTTATGCCATAAGTAATGTACTTACTGTTAGGAAACTGTTCATCTTATATTCAGTTGTAAGACTGCATAAAGATATAAAGTTTAACAGTTGTATTATAGCCAAAATAAGGAAAAATGTAGTGGCTATAGTTGTCGCTGTTAAAACTGTTTTAGCTGGGAGGAAATATGTAAAACAGTCAGTAACTACAACTCCATTAATAAAAGCATAAAAATTCATCACCTTAACTACCATAATCTATACATATAATAAATTGCAAATATGTTCAAACTAAATGGCTGTTTCATAAGAGCTATGATGATACTCAGGCTCTTTTAAGAAATATGAAATAATGTCATTTATTTATAAAAAACACACGCGCACTCATTCACTCACTCATACTCACACACACACAAACACACACGTTCGCGTATTTATATCTTTGGCGTGAATATTATTAGTTTTTTATAATTAATTATTATGTAAAGATCATGGATTAACACAAGTTTTTATACTTAAAAGGAGACCCCATCCCCTGTTATGATCTGATCATTTAATGAATAAACTTTTTATATTTATTAATATTATTATTAAAGCAATAATAGAAAAATTTACTACTTCTTAAATACTTTATTATAAAATCTAAAGAAAAAATAATAACCTGTTCGGCAGACAAAACCGAATGGGTTAATTAACTTATCGATAGCTTAAGTTGTGGAGTACATTACTTTGAGTATTCAACCAACTAAAGAGGCCATGCGCGTTAATTCCTAAACAAAAATTCTGTCAATATCAGTGGGGCGCAACAAAAACACATAACTGTATTATACTTAACTACAAACGCAAAATTAAGTCGCGTCACTATATAAACGCACTCTACAGCATTTGTTTTTGTGTTCATTGCATTTACGCGTACCATCAAATTTTACACGTGTCGATACACTGTTGCCGCTGTCCACGTGCGTAAGCAACGTATGGCGTGGACTATGTCGATATTTTTTATCGATAAACAGATCACCATTGTCCGCATATAGTTTTATTTGATTATAAGTAATACATAAATAAAACCAAGTTGTTATTTGAAATTCTTTTTTTTAAAATATTTAGAATTCATCTTCGGAAAAAACTTTAAAATTATTGAAAGTAAGTTCATTATTTTGCTACAGGTTTATTTTACATTGTGCAGGATAAAATTTAAAACAAGTTACAAATCGAAATGGAAGGTAGTTAAATTTAAAAATCAGATTCGTAAAAAAGAGTAGTATCAGTTTATCGTCTTAGATAGCGTTAACCAAGTTTTGTTTTAATTATAAGGCTTCAATCACAAAACCGCTATTTAAAAAAGTTGTTGATTTTCAAGAGTTATTAAACGTACTATTTGGAAAATATTTATTAAATTAAAAAATAAAGTTGTTTTACAAAATATAATAGTTGAACAAAGTGAATTTTTGACAGACAGCTGCTTAAAAATAAAACGCGACATCTGCCTAGTGCTAACTATTCCACAGAAAGATGTTTTGCTTTAACTTTACGTTACTATTCACCGAAAGCTTGACGATATATGCGAAATATCAAACGTTTTGAAATTTGTCTGCCTTCATCACGTACTATAACAAAGTGGTATAGTACAATTGATGGCCGACTTGACTATACAAAAAAAGCGAAAAAGAAAAGCTTTTAAAAAAAAACCAAGTTGTTATTTGAAATTCTTTTTTTAAAATATTTAGATATCATCTTCGGAAAAAAAACTTTAAAATTATTGAAAGTAAGTTTATTATTTTGCTACAGGTTTATTTTACATTGTGCAGGATAAAACTTAAAACAAATCGAATTGAAAGGTAGTTAAATTTAAAAATCAGATTTGTAAAAAAGAGTAGTATCAGTTTATCGTCTTAGATAGCGTTAACCAAGTTTTTGTTTTTATTATAAGGCTTCAATCACAAATTCGGTATTTAAAAAAGTTGTTGATTTTCAAGAGTTATTAAATGAACTATCTGGAAAATATTTATTAAATTAGGAAAATAAAGTTGTTTTACAAAATATAATACTTGAACAAAGTGAACTTTCGACAGACAGTTTCAGTCTTAAATCAGTCAGTCTCAAATCAGTTTTAAAACTTAGACTGGAGAGTAACCCTGACAAGAAATTGTACTGTAGATTAGTAATAGATGTAGATGAAATGAAAATAAAACAATTGACGGAGTAACATACAAGCTTTAAAAGACATTTTGGTTAATTATGGATTTGACTTCTTTTCTGACAATTCGGAGAACGCTACTGACGCTTTAGCATTTTTATTAATGGGCATTAATACTTCTTGTAAAGTACTCATTGGGTACTTCTTAGTAAAGGGTACAAGTGCGGACCTAAAAGCAGCTCAACTCTTCCGCCATGACGACGTTGGTTTTTGTACCATCACATGTCAACGCCTTTATTTTGATGTCAGTTTCGTGAAGAAGACAGAAAGCTTGTGTTACTAGCCGTGCTTTTAATTCAGCGCCCGTACCCTTAATCAAAAAGTTGGCTATGGATACTTTCCATGTTGTGTTTATACCGACCAATAAAAACACTAATGCGTCAGTAGCTTCATCGGAATTATCGGATATAAAATCGAACCCGTAATCGACAGCCATAATATCTTGGGCTGCTAGCATGGTATTCCGTCAATTGCTTAATTTTCATTTCATCCATGACCAAGGCACAATAAAAAAAAATTATCAGAATTACGCTCCGTTCTCAATTTTAATGCTGTCAGCGCTTCTTGATTAAACCTTGGTCAGCCATCGATTGTACTGTACCACTTAGTTAATGTCCGTGGTGCAGGCAAACATGTTCCAATAGTTTTACGTACATAGCGATAGGCTTTTCATGAGCAATAATTAAGTGTTAGGGCAAAACATCTTAACTCTGGAGAGTATTTAGTTCTAAGCATTTTTCCAGTCTTACTTTTAAGTAATTGTCTCTTTAAGAGTTCACTTGCTTCAATTACTATTTTTTCTAGGACCTGTTTGTTGTCTTTATTTATCAAAGATTTCTCTGTCAGCGAATCTAGTATTTCTTGCAAACTTGTAAATTTTTTCTTTAAATACAGTTTATGCGATTGAATCCTTTTTTATGCTATTATTTTTTATGTCCAGGCATTTCTTTATTTTAATTTTTCTTGGCGTATCTTCTAAGTATTGGCTCGTACTCGCAGTAGGAGTAGAACTAGTTGGAGCTATATGAGGAACTTTCTTCGAATTGTGACTTTCGAGACAACTAATGGAATTTTCTGGAACATCCAGCTTTCTATTGTCAATGTAGACGATATTGTACAATCACTACGATCAGCTTAAAATAAATAATTTACTTATGTAAGTCAGAAGATTCGTGCTATATATATATATATATATATATATATATATATATATATATATATATATATATAGTATGTATAAATTGAATTTGATAGATTAATGCTGGTTGCGCGGAAAACCATTCACGTTTTTTATTTATGACGGTAGGAACTTGCTGAATCATTATCCCTTTCCAAAACGATATCATTCGTACCCTCCTATCGACACATCGGGGTGATGGGGTGGGAGGGGAAAGAAGACGATTCTAGAACATCGCGTAATCATCGAAGCCGAGGATATATAAGACACGCGCGACCGACGCGCGCTCTTCTCTCTTCCCGCGCGCTCGTTTGGAAACACCTCACTAGTGGAAACCGCTTTGGCCTGGAAGCAGTCGAGCTCCAGGAACCCGCCTCACCTCGTGTGAGATATCGTCGCGCACCGCCTCTCTCCGGAGTGTTACAGAAGTCGCTATAGTGTTCGACAGGATAGAAGAAACCCCGGTGAGTCAGTATTCCTTAGTTTACTGCCTGATTAATATTTAATAATTGTTTTAACCCGTTCCAATTCTGTGTTCTCCTCATCAGGCAGGATTCCTTTCATCGATTTGGCAAGTAATAGTTTAGTTTAGGGAAGAGCGAGTGCATTGTACCGCATGCTATAGTAGTCGCTTTTACGTAAGCGTAGAAGCAAACGCAAATACAGTCCACTTTAGTTAATATCTCGCGTAATAGGTTTGAGGTTTGACCGGGGAACTAGATTTTCGGCAGCCTTAAACACGTGGC